AAGTGAGACGGCCAGCTTTTATTTTTATTTATTTTTTAAACTTTGCTCCGTTTTCCCCACTTTTTATTTTACATGTATGCTGCCTGACTATCCGACCCAAACGGCTCCACCCCCTCCGTTTGTGTCCCTGGGTGCACCCGCCCGCCTCACTAAAATATGAATGTGCTCTCTTCTCCCGTCCCAATACATAGTGGCTGACATTTAAGGGGCATTAGCGCTTGGTTGTGTGCCAGTTTATCACCCAAACACCCCCACGTTAATCCCCCCGCCCCCCATCCCCCATTACAGAGCCATTTGATAGCAGTCAAGAGAGCTGCTGCTGTTTTGTTCACTCTATCAGAATCGGGTTAATTTCCAAGAAAGTCTGTAAATAAAATAAGCTCGCCATGCAGGCACCCATAAAAACAAATTAAATAAGTATTTACAAATAAATAATCGGAATGTTATCTAGTAAAATAAATAACAAATGACACATTTCTTTCTACACAAAGCAGTTTTTATTTTCTTTTTAAGAAATATTGACCAAAAAGAGAGACAAAAAAAAATGATTGCGCAATCGATTGATGGTGTGGCAAATTCAAGAAAGGAAAAGCGAGATTGAAAAATGAGAACATTATTTTTCAGGATGCACTCTGTGAGATACCGAAGATATTACGAAAGATAAGAAGATGAGTGAGTCCATTGAGCCCAAAGATTTGATACGATACTTTAGATCAGGAGTGTGTCAAACTCATTTTTTGTTGCGGGCCACATCGTAATTTGTTTTCCCTCGGAAAGCTGACATAACTGAACTCATAAACATTTGTGATCGCCTTAGATGATCACCTATATACAACAAATTGATGGATCGCTCGCATTGAACTTCGCAGCAAGTTAAAAAAAATGTTCAACTGTTTTTCTATTTTAAACAGAAATTGTAAAAAAAACTGTAGTAAATTAATTTGTAACAAAGAAAGAAAGAAAATGCAGTATGTCAACATTATTAAAAGTGAAGTGCAATTTTGATGTCTTAATAAAAAACGAGAGAGTGCGCCCGAATCTGGCCCCCGGGCCTGGAGTTTGACACCCGTGATATATAGATTGATGGCTTTTTAAGATACGAGGAATTGATTTAGTGCGATTCAATAGACAAATGCAACATGCTAGCTTTACAAAATAGGTAATCAATTGATTGATAGGAGAGGTACTATTCAAGAGATTAGAACAAAAGATAGGATATGACAAATGCAATAAAAATTTGCCATATGCTCAAAGATTAAAGTTTTTTTCCTCATCAACTTTTTATAACCCCACAAGTTGAAAATCATTTGACGAAACCAGGCTAGCATTTTTCCAACCTTCAAGCTGATAAAGAGATAATAAATGAAGTATAGGTACATATTTGAAACACTGTTGTTATTGTACTGGTACACTGTGCTAAAAAAATAAAAATAAAAAATAGGAGGTAGCATTCCGGTGGCACTTTTTTTAGTGTAGCAGGTGTAAACATCATGACTCTACATTGCGGCAACTGGCGCAACAAAATGGTCGCCGTGCCATTTTGATTCCAGAAGATGGCCGACGCTAACGTTCCGGCGCGTTCACGGCGCAAAGAGACGAGCAGGGAGGCATACCCGGCGCCGTCGAGTGAAAGGCCGCTTGGCCTTAAAAGTGCCGAGTCAGCGTCAGCCTCGTGCTTCCTCATCCACAGCCAGCCAGCCGGCACGTTGTGAACTCCCGAGACCACGTTCGTCTCGTTTTATGAAGGTGATGATGAAAAGAAGTTAGCACAACTAGTACGCAGGATATTGCCGGGCAGAACTGTCTCACTCTGGATGAACCTTGATTGCAGAAGTCTCTCTTTGTGATGCATTCTTCGCCACAATAACAAAACAGCCACATTCTTAAAATAAGTGGTTAGAGACATTCCTCATCCCGACACTATTTAATTTTTTTTTTTTTTACAGAAAATCTGAATTGGGTAACATTTTTAGAAAGAGACTTCAACCTAGCTTAACCCAGAAACATGGCATTTGCAAAAATGTAGATAAATAAATTGGAGAACAATATCCTGGATCCATTATCATTTTTTATGAAACAAATAATACATGTCTACCTAAAATACACTCCTGCTGCAATAATCTACCCCTCAACAATGTTTTGTGGAAGGTTTTGTGCTACCAAGTGTCTGTTGCAAACTAAGTCAGCAATGGTCTTGAATTAAAAAAAATTCAACAAAACCCAACAACAAAAACGTAACACCCAATGCACCGTGTAAAACAACCACATTGCCAAAATTTCAGAATTGCCCTTAAGAATGTCCATCATTTAAGCAGTGCGTGACTAAAGTTCTGCATAAGAAACACACCTACAAACCAGTCCCGGACATGCTAAAGATGTTTGCTTCTCAGGGCTAAAAGTGTCACGTATTCTTTTATTTTATATTCAATAATATAATTACATTTTAAAATTCCACTGGCACACAAACTTTCCGCTCCAAGTTTGCGCCGCAAAAAAAACCCCTAAACTTGTTCTGTCTCCTTTAACCCTGGAGAACCCAATAACCTTTTTCTTCTTTGGAAAATGATGAATTATACATTAAATGACTGCTATATGTTCACTGAACACCAAAATATATGTTTTTTCAAATATTCAATGCTTTAATCCTAATTTAGTATTAGGGCCAAATCTGACCCTTTGGGATTTAAGAGCAGCATTTGAGTAGCAGAATTTATAGGGGCCAAGTTTGACCCCATGGGTTCTCCCGGGTTTTAAATAAAAATCATTAAAACGCTGAAGCAGACACTGGAATGACCCAAAATGACAGCGCACGTCAAACCTGTGATTAGGCAGCTTTTTCCCACCAAAAAGGCCCACCTGACATTAACATCATGATAGCCACTAGCAAAATTGCGCACAAATTCCCGCCTTACAAAACGCAGGCACTTGAACCACCATTTCTCCCGGATATTAGAATTTTCCACGCAGGCATCACCTAATAGCCTTGAGATGGGTCAATTACACCTGCGCCTCGTGGCTAATTTTATACTATTCAAAGTAGTTTGAATGCCTTTTTTTTTAATAGACAGAACTGGTAAGCATTGAGTCTTACTGCTAGCTAGCTAGCTACAATTCGAATTAGCCTCTACCTCGACGTGCGCAGCCTCTTTCCTCCACCATTCAGGGTTTAAACACACACACACACACACACACACACACACACACACACACACACACACACACACACACTCTTTCCGCAAGTATTGTGACATTTCTCAGTGAATAGAACATAATTTATGAGATATCAATCTACACTGTCAGTTTGGTAAGGTAGTGTTTGCAGCACCACAACAACAGCAACAAAAATAGTCAAAATGACACCAAAAAGTGCAACTGTATTTACATTTGCTTTTACACGTTTACGTCCAACTTTTATTTTACTTGTGTGCAGTACATCACTTTTTTTTTCAATGCTAATGTACAAAATACAAACTCTTGCAGTGGCTCATAAAAAAATATTGAGTTTTTTTTTTTTTTTTTAGGAATAAAACCTGCCTAAAACTAAAACTAAAATATTCTACAAATGTAACATGCAGTCTGTAAAATTGGCATGTTGGACCTCAGTGGAGGGGGGGGTGATATTTGACTAATTATGCCATTCTATTCATACCGTTGAATTTTATTGAATTTGATATCCTTAACACTGAATTGAAATGATCAGAAAAAAAATGTTAGATGATTTACTGTAGCGCTTAAAAATGTAATGTGTTGTAATTGGCAGTAGTGTGTTATTGCTTCACACCGAGTGCTGTTTCTAATAGCTTTCTAAAGAGCAAAAGATAAGAGACACGAATGCACCTCAGGAAGGTAGTCTCCCGCTGCCCCCCCCCCCCCACAAAAATGTGGCAATAATTTAAAAGTGAAAAAATATCAATGCGATTGAAAATGCAATGACTACGTATCGGCCGATCCAAAAGAAATCCAGCTTGCTAATAATCACAATCACTGCACTGTGCTTGAAATATGTCTTCAGTTTTCAATACCACGTGTCGTGTCGTTTTGATGGGCGACACACAAAAAAATGCAGGACGATTGGTTTCGTTGCTGACGAGTTGCCAGTTGAAGTTAGAGCGAGGGCACGGCCCTCTTCGGAGAGGTCGACCCGTCGAGGTCCAAACGCCAGCAGGTCCGCGCCGCGCCGCCTCTTCCCGCGCTCTTCCTCAGCAGAACTCTGCTGCTGCTTCTTGCTCCTCCTCGTCCGTCTTCTCCTCTTTGCTTTTCTTCCCCCGGCCAAGAAATAGTGAGGTGAGTTGCACTTTGGATTCTGTCCAGACAACATTGTAACAAAATGCCATAGCCTTCATTATTGCGCTTTTCATATTGACAAAAGTGGGTCATGAAAGCACGAGGAAAAAAAACACTGTTGTGTTTTTAACACCGGGTGATTATGTGAAAAGAATCGTGGTCAAAGGCAAATAAAGAAATGGTGAGTTTTAAGCAAATGCAAATTATGTTGGATTCTACTTTTAAGGATTTAGATATCGCTGTTTGGAGCAGAAATATTGAATCATAAAAACGTGAAGGGGTGGGGGATACTCTCAAACTAGTCTTTGGAGCAAGTTCTAGCAAACTTATCTGAGAACACACACACGCACACACACACACACACACACACACACACACACACACGATTACCACGACTGCACATTAAGCTGAAAAATTACATTCTCATTGTGTATGAATTTTTTCCCCCATATTTCCTTATGGAAAGTTTTTTTTTAAATTAACTTTTTAATCATACAGACATAAATCTCTACTACACAGAGTAAATATATTGATTTGGGGTGAGGGGGATGTTTTATGGCATTATTAATATTGACCCTAAGGAAAAAGAAATCTTCATTTGTAATTTATGAACATAATTAAAAGAAGGAGCAATGTAATTATTATTATTTAGCAAATAACTGAGGAAAAAAATACATGTTCATTTTTAATTTATAAACATAATGAATAGACTCAGCAATGTAATTATTATGCTTTGGCAAATAAAACACACCGAGGTTTTGCAAATGTCAAAGTTGATCTCATCCACACTCGTGTTTCCTGCTCATCTCATTGTTCATTTTTATTTTGGAAATGACAAAGGCATACTGTGGTCTTTTCCTGACTCTGGGCCAAACAATCCGGGAAGAATTTCATTCTTCAAGCTCTCCCCATGAATTGTCTGATTTACTATTGTTGTCATATTTGGACTGCCCGAAAGCTGCCACTTGGGTTGCGGCAGCTCCACAGACCACACACGGCCCGTTTAATGAAATTAATGAGAGACGGCAACCGGGAGCCAAAAGTTGCACATTTATCGCAAAGCTACTATTTGACTTCGCTTTGGCTCCATCGCGCAATGTGTTGATGCTGCGCCTGTCTCACGGCGGCCATTTTGTGCTGATCACAGCAACGAACGGGCGCCCATTTTAGGACGTGCGGGGCCGTGCGCTCGCGGAATCCTCGGAGCGAGGCTTTACTTTGGTTTTGTCGCTCTTCAAACTTGGAGCCAAACATTCCAGGAAGAAATTTAATCAGCCAGAATTTCCTCTTGGTTTGTCTGATGTAACACTGTTGTCATATTTGGCTGCGGTGAAGGAATCTGAAGCGCATGAAAAGGGTTAATGGCAAAGGAGACCCAACTTGAACTTGGCCACGGTTTTTATTTTCATGTGGTGCAAAATGTCGATATTGCGCATGTCTCTGGTGGGCAATTTTTGTGCTGGAGGTTTGAGGGCACGGAAACAAGTACTTGCTAAACCTTCACACTTTCTGAAATACACTAAAATGTAGATATCTCATTTTATTTATTTATTTTTGCTCTCAATCCAGGAATTATTTCAAGATGGTGCATATCAGCCGCAATTTTGGTAGCCGTTAATGAAGCTGAAGTGCCGTCAAGGGTTAACGAGAAGGTGGAACCGGGCCGCTCTTTGAATCACGCGCTACAGTCGGTCGCTAGCGCGCACGGGCCTCGCCGGCCATTTTGTACCCATCGCAGCATGTGTGCCATTGTTAAGACGCGGCACGTTCAGAACCTTCAAAATAAATGTGCCTTATATTTATTTACATTTTGCTTTTGAACTTGTGGCAAAGCAATCGGGATGAAGGATTTAGCCCAACACAATTTTACTCATAGAGCACTTGGCATACCAAGTGCCGTTTCTAAAGTCAAAAGCTTTCCTTCTGCTTTTAATGTTTTTCTTTGAACCGCACGGAAGCTGCAATTTGGCTGCGTTCGCTGAAACTAAATTTGCATTAAGCCTTCAGAACAACGAGTACAAACTTGAACTTGGCCTTTGTTTTCACTCATCGTGTCTCTCGTCAACCATTTTGTGCCGATGGCGCGCGAGTGCCCGTTTCGAAGAAAGCGGGAGGAGAGCCGCGCGCTTGCGCAACCTTCAAACTTGTCATTTTGGCTTCGACGATTGTCCGCGCTTTTCAAGCGCCGTGCCCAAAGCGGTCAGTCGCGGTCTTGTTTTCTAAAAGTGGCTGCTGGGGTCAAAGGTCAGGCCCTGTTAATAAGACGCAACACGCTCCCCCCCCGGGACCTCCGACCCCCGGCCGGGATCACCCCCTAATCGGCATTAGTTAATGTGTTTGTAATCTTTACCTTCTTAAAGCAAACAGCGGCGGGCGCGCTCAATGGGACCGCTCGGCCTCCCCGTGTAACACTTTTGACCTGGGGGTCGCGACCCCTCACCCTGACTTGGCGGGGGAGCGCCCTCGAAGGTCTGGGGCGTAATAGAGAGCTTGTGTTTGGACACGTGCGCCACTCACGGGGCAGACCAACCGCCTGAAACGCCGCGAGGAGGATGTCAAACTCGCGGTTTGTTGTTCAGAATGACTCTCGCACGCGAGAAAAATGTCGGAAAAAAATTGCAGTACCGAAGGCCTTCAGATGAGACATTTTCACCTGTGCTTGAAAACGTTGAGTCTGAAAAATGAATGAAGCCACAATTAAGATATTTCAAATCCACGTTTTAAAAAGTTTGGAGTTGGCTTTTCATTGTTATTTCTTCATCTTGAAACAGCAGCGCCATTTTGTCAGAAAGGCACTGCGGCTCGGCCGAAGTAACTTTGCAAGCGCATATTCAAATCTTTTTTTTTTTTTCTTTAAATACAAAAGTCCAAATATCAAACGTCGATTAAATCACGTGTAATGGAATAATGGGAAGTGGATTTGTTGTTGTGGGTGGCAAACCACTCGAAGAGAAGCACTTAAGTCACTGCGCACACAAATCTGTTTAGGTTTTTTTTCCCGCCCCTGCATCATACCGGTAATTCACAGCTTATTACGTGAACCGCAACCACTTGTGTGCCCCAGCTTAATATTAGTTTAATTTTATTTATTTATTTCCGCCCTCCGCCCCCCCAATAAAAATGGAATCGGAAAATCTGGGCAAATCAGGTGCAGCAGCAGCAGACGAAAGAGTACGGACATACAACATCCAGCTTTATGGGGAAAAAAAAGAAAATCCTGATTGCAAAATGATTTTTCTTCTCACAAAGATTTGTGGTGATTAAAAACAAATTTCGTGTTATTTTCTGTTGATAAAAATTTTTTTCGCGTTATTTTCTGTAAATGTTTAATTGTTGACACCCAAAGTCCATCCTTGATTTTGAAGTGCTCCCAATTTTCTTTCGTTTAAATCTTGAAATGGTCTTTTATTTGTATTTTGTCGGCCGTACCAACGACATAATGCAAGAATGAGCAGTGGCAGATGAGTGATGACTTGTATGGGGGGGGGGGGAAATGATAATCACTGTCACAAAGTAACACTGAAGGCATCCGCCGGCAAATCATTTATACAATGATTGATTCTATTGATTGCAAAACAGAAAATAGTCTCCTAAAATTCAGCAAGAGTGTTGCAACGCATTTCGCGAATGAGAAATGGACAAAAAGCAGGACTGTTTGCCGCCAACTTGCGCGCTTGCTCGATGATCGATAAGCGACCCCGTTTCAACCGACGACGTTTCGGGTGCCGAGCCAAAAACTTTGCGCCAAACACTCAAAAAGCAGCCTTCCTACGCACACGCCCAGTGACACGGCGCCATCTTCTTTTGCTTCACACTCGGGGCCCGCTTGTGCTCGGCGTTTCGATTGCGTTGCGACTCCCTTCATAAATAACGCACTTCGAAATAGCTCAGCGCTAACTAGCGCGCTTGCTCAGTCACTCATATTTGGAGACGTTGGACAAGCGTGCACGTGGAGCCTAAATGTGCTTACACGGCGGCCTGCAAGCGACGCTTCATCCTCGTGTCAACTTCAACGTGCGGGCACACACACACACACACACACACACACACACACACACACACACACACACACACACACACACAGGACGTCCGTATGTTTGCGTGTATCGTGAGCAGCTTCATCAGCGCTCATTACAAAGCAACAAAACTGGCACAGCTTGCACTGCAATCCCTCCCGGAGAGCAGCAAGTCGCACGCCGCCGTGCGCTTTGTGCCCGCAGCAAGACGAGACCGAGCCTCGCTAAACACAACCGCATAAAAACAAGAACACGACAATTGTTAAAGTCAGAAAAAGCTCAAAAAAACCCCACCTTGTCTCTTCGCGGGAGATGCGTCGTCCCCCCCCCCGACTGACCGACACACTGCTGCCCTTTTTTTTGTTTTGTTGTTGTTTTTTTTTTTTTGTTTTTATTTTTCTGAGCGAGCCCAAAAGAAGCCGGGAATTGTCGCACAATAGCGTTACAGTAATGTGCCACAAGAGTGGAAAAAGCCAAACGCTGGTGGCTGAGGTGGCAGGGAGCTGGAGGGGAGAGGAGCAGGAGAGGAGGGAGGAGGGAAGATGGCGGCGCTTCAAGGACAACGTGAATTGGGGGGAGCTGAAGGGGGAAAGGGGGGGGCGGGCGAGGGGGTGGCAGCGAGTGCACTAACAACAGAATATTCAAGAATAAATCGACGAAAATAACGCCGGGGTCGCTTTCAGAGCAGCTTTTATTTTGGAGGAACCAACTCGGCATTTGTTTAGTGCAAAAGAGGGCGGCTGTTTTTCCTCCTTTTGCCCGCTTTCCGCTCCGGAATTTAAAAAGAAAAAAAAAGAAAAAAGTGCTTATCGGCCTTTTTGAATTGGTGCCAGCAGCAAGAGAGGCTGCAAGCCATCAGCTCGCTTGGCAGTGACACAACAAGGCCGGCCGGGGACACGAGGGCTGTGCGTTCCGGGGCCACATGTTCCTGAAATAAACCCTCTTGGAAGCTTATCTTTTTTCCTGCGTACGTGTGTGTGTTACGTTTGCAACGCCGCGACAGAACGAGGTCAAATTTTTTTTTGTTTTTTGAAAATTTTTTTTTTTTTTTTTGGAATTTTATTTATTTTTTTAACCGATACAATTTTTTGGGGGGTCTACTTTGTCCCCCTTTCCCGCACCTCCCCTGCCTTTTTACATGGGGAGATGCTGCACCGGATGCCACTATGGCGGCCGACGTTCACACTGCGCCTGCGCCTGCGCAACTCCCAGAGGCGTGTCACTCTTCCTCCTCTCTCTCTCTCTCTCTCTCTCTCTCTCTCTCTCTCTCTCTCTGGAAAGAGCACACTTAACCCTCTCTCTCTCCCCCTCTCTCTGACTTTTCTAGCCTCACTCTCTCCTTCCTCCTCCTGGCCACTCCTCCTGTTGCATCATCAGTCTCCTCCTACCTCATTCCCTCTCTCTCTTGCTCTCTCTTTAGCTGGCACTTCTTTTGCGCCCTGTTTCGCTCATGCCTCTTTCGACTCCAGCCTCGCGCAAGGGGGAAAACTTAGAGTGGTACAGAAAGAGGGGGAAGGGGAGAAAAAGAGAGAGAGAGAGAGAGAGAGAGAGAGAGAGAGAGAGAGAGGCGAGCGGGCTGGGGGGTGTGAGGGGGTAGTCTGCTGCTATTTCTACAGTCCGGGCCTCCCCGCCGCCGTCGCTCTCCCGCCCACCCTTCATAGGCTGAGTTTTGTTTTTTTCTCCCCCCTCCGCTCGCCACTCGCTTGGATTTTAACCCTCTGCCTCCAACTTGCAGCTCTTGCAAAATAAGCTGGCAACAAGTTGCTCCTCCACGAAGGCCTTTTTCGCACACTTTTTTTTTTGGGCGCACACAGTTTTTTAACCCGCCGATTCCCGCGCTTTTGGATCTTGCTGCCTCGACGCATGTGTTTTCGAACATTTTATTTGCTGGACAAAAAAAAAAAAGAGACTATTTTTGTGTATTTTGTTGATGTTTTATGAACATTTGGATCAGAAATGGAGGTTTCTCGCCGCCGCCATTGCTAGCTGGATCAGGGGTGGTGGTGGTGGGGAGGCGGGGGGGGTTCTAACCTGCACGCCATCCTGACGACCACGACGACGGCAAAGGGGAAGCGTGGGCCCATCTTCGACGAGATCCAACGTTTGTCCCTCCTCTTCATCATCCTCCGCCTCCCGTATTTCGGCTTCGTTCCGTCCTTTCCGCGCCGCGCAACTCCTGACACGCAGGCGGACGAGCAGCTTTGGGCCGAGCCGAGCCGCCAGAGCGTTTTTCTGGGACGGGTGCCAAGTGCAAACAAAAGAGGCCAAAAAGCGACGAGGAATAGAAAACGTTCGTAATTGTGCATTTCTTTTTTTTTTCTTTTGGGAGGGTCGGGGGGGAATAGGATAGGGGGTGGCTTTTCTTGCATCAGATGGCCTTCCTCGTATGTTGTGTCCACTTTGTGCACTTCTAGCCGTGTGTGTGTGCGTGTGTGTGTGTGTGTGCTTCGATTTAGCTGGCCAGGCTGCAGCTTTGAATACTTTTTGCCAGTCTTCGCTGAAGAAGTGAAGGCATCTCTCGCCAGAGACGAAAGCGTGCGAGAGTACAAACCGTTTTCATTTTTCACGAGTGGAGCCGTAAGACGGAACCGGCCCCAGACGGCATCACGCCGCGTCCGGTTTTCGCATACATCAGACACTGCGTTTTTATTTGCCGACGTTCCTCATTGCTCACAGCAGCCACATGGCCTCCTATTGTTTTAGGCCCAACTTGAACTTGAGGCGGGGGGTGTGGGGGGGGGGGGGGGGGGGGGGGGTGCAGCCAAGGCCCGGAGCTGAGATTGCGGTTCGGAACCGGGAGATGGTGGAAGAGGAGAGGAGCAAGACGGGTGGGAGACGCAGGTTCGGCCGTCTCGGAAAAGAGTCGTCGAATTCCGCCGCCCCGGAAGACGGGTGAGTAACATCGACGTTGATGTTTTGAGTTGACGTGATTGGAGAGCAAATAAACACGCAAACTCCCGTCACGAAGGTTTTGACACACGGGAGCGCTTTTGTTAGCGTAACTTTTTTCGAGTGGCGCCTGTGAGAGGATGCAAAGAGGGGAAGGCCTCGCTCCCGGGGCCACTTCATGCGAGTGATGCGGGCCCAAATGTGTGCCGAGCGGGCGGGCGGCCGGGCGAGAAGGCGTACGTGGCTTCCGCCCAGTTGTAACTAAAATGGAGAAAATCTCACCGCCTGAATTATTATTTTTTTGACCATTTTTGGCTAGGTTTAGCCTCGCTCGTTGAAGGCAATGCGTTTTTCGCAACGCATTTGTCGAATCCCGTCGATGCTTGTCCCTTTTTGTGCCGACAGGAAGATTTACTTTTTGGGGTGTGAACAAAGATGATCAAAAGTGTAGTTGGTGGTATGAGCAAGACAGATAAAATATCAAATGCTTGTTTTATTTTTTTATTTTTTTAACCTGGAAAAATCTTTTTTTCACCCCAATGTTGCCCCCTTTAAAGTGGCAACTGAGGTCTGCTTACACGATCACCTTTTAGTTCTACTCCATGAAACTAATTTTGCCATCAGACTTGATCCGATTGAGACATTCTTCAGCTTCCCCCTCCCTTCCCATCCGGCCCGCACGTTGGCGCATGGCGCGGCCTCCGTGGCGAGGTGGCATGTCGAGGACGCGCATGGCGCCATGCCGTAAAGCTTTCTCTGTCCCGCGTTTGGAAATCCACCTTGAGAGTTGGGCGCAGCCCAAACCGAAAGGTTCGGCGCACTGGAGCTGCACCGTCACGAGGCACACGCGGGCACAGTTCACAAATGTGCACATGCATTTTTGTGAGTGCCATGATGACCCCCCCCCCCCCCACCTCGACACCGTCTTCCTATAGCTAATCTCTCAAATGTCATCTTTTTCCCACTAGGCGGCTTCTGTAAAGGTTTTGTTGGCTTATTTCTTATTTTGTACAAGTCGTATGTTACTTTTAAGCAAGTGATTGTTCAGAGTGAATGTGAATGTGTAAGAAGTGCAAGAAAGAACAAGTTGGGGGGTGGGGGGGAATGAGGTTGCTGAAATTGAACTTGAACCTTTCTGTGACTTTGAACTTGAACATGAACTTGGAGAGTGGAAAGTGTGTGCGGTGCAATTTTTTTTTTTTTTTTTTTTAACGACTGCATGCTGGTTATTTGTATTTGTCCTAAGCAAGGAAGGACAATTTATGAATGTTCGAGGCGGAAATGATTTTGAAGCAACTTTATTAAAAAAAAAAAAAAAAAAAAAACTTTTTTTTTTCCGATTTGAAATCACAGTCCCCATAATTCAATACATTTATTAAAACTTGGAGTTAAAAATGAGGCTTTGTTGATTGTCATGTGGTGGACACTTGAGTTTTGTTACCATGTTAGCAATCAACAAAATTGATTTCTCTGCGTGTGTGGTCATATTTAATAAGCCATACATTTTTTTTCAATGTTTTTGTCCATCGTAACTGATATCGATCCGCAAACCCTAAAATGACGACATGGTGGAAAAATAATGGATTTGAAAATAAACAATAAATGTGACGCAGCAGATATTGTTGCTAATTTTAAATCTACAAAGTGCTAATGAAATAAATTTTTTTAACAACAAAAATAAATAGAGGTATAAAAATGTGTGTGTGTGTGTGTGTGTGTGTGTGTGTGTGTGTGTGTGTGTGTGTGTGTGTGTGTGTGTGTGTTATAAAAGTGTGTGTGTGTGTGTGTGTGTGTGTGTGTGTGTGTGTGTGTGTTCCCACTGATACTCAGTGTGTCTGGATATTTAGTCGTTTGTTATATTGCTGGTACACGCTGGCATCCTCATAAGGTCCCAACACAGGAGCTACAGCAAAGCAATGCTTCATTTTGATTGACGCTGTCAGTCACACATCACCTCAAATGACATCCACAGTATTAAAACCGGGTATGAATGGGGCCGATTCAAAAAGCGAGCCAGTCATTTCTGATGTTGGTGAAGGCGGACTTTTGGATGCAGCCCGTGTCACCGATGTTATTAGTGTGTTGTGCCTAATGAAGTGGAATGCGGCCTCGTCGTACTGGATTGCCAGTGCGGTGCAGTGCTGTGTGAAACAAGCTCTGATGTGACTGGAGTAGCACTTGGTAGGGAAAAAAAAGTGGAGAAAAAGTTGCCCATTTGTGTGGGTGGGGCCGGGGGGGGAGTCATTCAAAAATCCAAAATGTAAATTGATTTTTAAATATAATTATTGTGCTTTTATAACACCCTTACCCAAATTCTCTTCAGACACAGCAACTGCATATCAGTGCAGCACAGCCGCCATGTTGCGAAAGGACTTGCCACGTCGATGGGGGGAGAAAAAAAAAACGTAGTGCTTTGCGTGAGCGCGGATTTTTGTTGGATCACGTACAAAATGCCGCAGACGAATAATTAGGTTACCGCAAAAGAACCCAAATGTTTGGGAAATTAATTTCATTTAAAAAAAAAGGGAAGAGGTCAGACTCGCTCAGCTCCTGTTGTGGTCAATCGGCAGCATGGCAGACATATTGGCCGAGATAATTATGACGTCACTTGTCATTTTATGTGGAGTGACGCTCACGTTGATGAAAGGAAAATAGCCAAGTTACATGAACATTTGTGTGTCGTGTGTCCTTTTTCTCGGTCTGGGTCACTAGTAGCCTGCTATCAAGAACTTTTCATGGGATTTTGTACATATCAAAAAAAAAAAATGTCCTCTTACCACACGTTTTGTGGTTATTTCAAGTGCGCTCCGACCGCACATTTATTGAAGTTACTTGAAACGGGTTAAGTCAGTTCTGACAATGGCTTTTATATTAGCCAAACCATTAAAATATTGAGTTGCAAGATGAAGCCTGGTGTCCCAAAATGATTGCCTGTTTAGGACCGCGTCATGATTGCGGTTGGAAAGCAAGATCAGAATGAGAGTTAAATGCAAATGTCTCCATTGTGGGACAAATAAAGGTTTTCTTATTCTTATTAAATATGATGTAACAGAGTACGGAATATCTTAAAGCAGTGTGATGTTTAACCTGGTCTTAGGAGAACTAAGGAGGATTTTGTACAAAACCAAATTCGATTTTCAAAGCCTTGGTGGCATTTTTAGTGCCGCGTCAGCGTTTGTGAACTTGTGTGAGAATCACACTTTGGCCTTGACGTGGTGTTGCAGAAAAATAGCCGTGATCAGTGTGTCGTTAGCTCCCGTGGACATTTAGTCTGCTTTTGTAAAAAAAAAAAAAAGGCCATGGTCCCCCACTATACCCAAAATCAAACCTTCCTATGTGGTAAACTTGATTGCAAATTACAGAAATCTTGAAAAGCCAATCGTCATTATCCAATAAAACTTTACAAAAAGTTAAAAAAAAAAAAAAAAAAAAGTTTCTCGTGAGAACAAATTCCAGCGGGACAAATAAGGAAATCTAGTGTGTGTCCCCCCCCCCCCCAAACGTGTTTCACAGCAGCATCAAAATGACTCCACTGGAGCAAAAAAAAAAAAAAAGCAAGCAGCCTTTTTCCGTCTTTTTTTTTTTTTTTGCCACCACACTCGGAGGTCATTAAGTCCATCACTCTGTCGACTGGGGGGTGGACTGGGGGCCCACTCTTCCTCCGCCCCCTCCCGTCTGTCTGCGTTAATCTGAATGTCAGCTGGGATGTGGTCACACGTGATTTTAACCGCAGAAACCGCAGCAACATGATGTCATGGTGACATCATGCCCAAGTGAAAAGAGACCTTTCACATGGACGCAGGGGCCCTCGGTGGCCGCTTTACACAGCTGGAGGCCAGCCAGCTAACATTCAAGAAAATTTGTCAAATTACATATATTATGACTTTTTTTGGAGGGGGGGGGGGTTTGCCGCTGACCGCTAATGTCATTCAGCGCGCGTTTATAGAAGAGACTTTTAGTCGGCAGTACACGTGTGTCTTCTCGGCGCGCTATCTGCCTAGCAACGGCGACGGCCAGATAACACCGAGTGGCGCCCGCTCCACTTTTTTCCCTTTTCCATTTCTCATATAGTTCTACAGCTTCTGGCTCTAGCTGGTGCCAAGACAACTTTTGGACCCTGCGGAACTGTCGAGTCAGCCAAAATTGTTTCACTCGGAGATACGATTGCAGGCGGGAGTGGGGCTTCTCCAGCGAATGTTTAAAAAAAAAAAAAAAAAAAAGATGCAAACGCGGCAGAATTATCTTTCACCTTGAGTTTTTCACACCGTCTTTAGGAAGGATTAAATCTGCTCTATCAAGGGATTAGCAAGCACTCTGCTATTGTGTACTGAAGAAATGCAATTATCATTGCTAACCTGAGCAAAGAATTTTGAGTTTTAACCTTGGGTGTGTTGTTATTACGAACAGCACTGTTAAAAAAAAGAAAAAACCTTTCAAGACCATTTGTGACTATCTTGAAAGTCAAAAAGGAAGAAAATCGGACTTTTAACACACAGAAATGTCATATTTTTCAGTATCAAAGCCTTCCTTTTCATATTGGCTAGGTGATGTCACATGGTTCGATTCTGTTAAAGTCAACATCTGTCAATAAAATATTGCGGGGATCGTTTGGTTTGACAAATCAACTTGAGATACAATCCACCGTAGGGTGGCAGTGGCTCACACAAACAGCAATTTGATCAATAGAATTGGTGATTTTTTTTTTTTTTTTAAGGATTTAAAATGTATTGCCAAACTAAGCATAAAACAAAAAAAGTGAATGTTCTGTATCAAAGCCCACCACGAAAATTATTCTTATCAGTCCGCTCGCTTAATCTTAATGCTAAAAAACACGTCGCCCGACAATCTAACAGTATTCACAGTCAAAATATTCTTTGTCCGGCATATAATGATCAATATTAATGCCGCACTGATGATCTCCATCCATGATTTCTTGGCAGGACATTCATAGTCGGTTCCATTTAATCGGCCAATGATAGCATTTTAGAAAATGTTCAAAAATCGGATGTTTGTTCTTTTTTTTTTTTTTTTAACAAAGATCCCATATCAACAAAAATTGGCTGTTTTTTTTCTCTTCTGTTCTCTCCAAATAACATGACAAATTATTGTTAAAAAAAGTCAATTTTTTTGTTGGTGGAGTGACAGGAAAAGATTTGGGGGTGTTTTCTTTCTTTTTTTTTTTTTTTTTTTTAACAATCACTTTTCGGAATTTTATCGGTCAAATATCGGCACCAGCCTCCAAAATCCGTTTCAGTCGGGCTGTAGGCAAAACAACCAATTAAGACCATGTCCTGTATGTACATTTACAGATTTGCAAATGCGTCTCACAGATGTGTGCACTTTTTTTTTCTTTTTTTGCAGGCGGGGGGGGGGTTTCACCAATTTTACTAGGTCGTAGTCCACTTCTAATTAGTTCTACTGGTCGGCGGTGTAGTTCTACCAACCTGAGCTGTTTTTAATTTGCATTCTGTGCTTGTATTTGATACTTGTGGACAATATTGTCGGATGAGGTTGCGATGGACTGCACCCCTGCTATCTGGCATGAATAGTTTTCCCGCTTGCTGTTGGTGGAACTGCTCCTGTTCCCTAGTCCTTGAGTGGTACAACAAGCGGATTAGTGGTTCGTTTCCTTTCTGAAAATGCTCTGAAATGTAAGGAAAGTGTTTTTTCTCACCCTGCTCGCAGCCATTTGCTGTACTATATGTAGATTTCGTACTTGCACATACAGTACTTGCCCAGGGTTCTTGAGTCATAAGCATGCAAACACACACACACACACGCACTCACACGCTTGTGTGTGCACGACGCAGAGTGCATTGAGTGCATTGAGCTACGGACATGAATCTGTCTCCACGGGCTGCGGGAGTTGGGTTACTCATGAGTCTATAAACATGTGCTGGCGGCGCTCCAAGGCGCTGAACTGTAATTATAAACGTTCCAAACAATATATAAAAGAGCCTCCGCAGCAAGGCCGTGCCCCGCGCCGCAATTAGCGTCCCTGTACGGAATTATCACCTACTCAGTGAAGGCCTCTAATTGGCAGTGTCTTCCACGGACGGGCCTCGAGTTGGACCGGGTCTCTCCGGCGCCCCTCGTCCCCCTCCCCCGATATACGTTGCCCAACCTACACACGCATGTGTCAAAAGCGCAACCGGGAGCGTTCTGTGCTACACGTGCTCGCCGTGATGCGCACCACCTCGCCCCGGCCACGTGACACAGCCCCTCCATAACGCCACCCCCGTTTTTTGGCGGCGTCGCCAGATTGTCTGCACGTACCGTCGAGTGGTAGATAGAGAGTGAGGGTGGAGGATTAGTGCGTCCTGTACAGAAAGAATGCACAGACCCGCGTAGTGTGCCCCCCTCCCCCCCGCCTCCCACATGTGTGTCGATCCGTGACTCCTTATATTAAGCCACAGTGAAAAAGCCAAAGGCGAGGATGATTATTTGGATCGTAATTGGTTGTCTAGGAAGTTATAGACTAATTAAAAGACTGAATTACTAGTTCAGAATGAGGTAGTTTGGCAAGATGGATAAAAGACTGAATATGCAATTACTTATTTAGTAAACAGGATAACCAATCCGGTAAACTTGATATTGACCTCAAAAACTGCATCTAAACCCCTCCCAACCGGGTTTAGACTTGCCTATGTTGATAATTGAACACGTAAATATCATTTCAATGTCTGGCAAACGTCCGTGGCGACCGTTTGCGACCGTTTGCAACCTTGAACGAATCTTTCCAAAAGGATATTATCCACAATTCCTGACGGCAGTAATATTTAAAGCAACAGGTCACCAATGTAGTTGACAGACTAAGCCAAGACTAAAAAAAAAATAAAAAAACTCCCAAAAAAAAAAATAATAAAAAAAATCGGTTATTTGTTGTGGATAGTCAATAAGGCCAAGAAGTATAAATTCAAAACAAATTACAAACATATTTCCATTATTTTTGAGAAAATTGCCAATTCTAAATTCAGTGAAAATCATCATCGGTGATCCTCCACAGGAACAACAGTCAATATCTCTCTTTTTTCCTTTTGTTAATATTTTGCAAGTAGTCTGCAAGCTCGAGACTTGTGTGAACAATACTCGCCGTAGCGCAATGACGTCAGCTCAGAAAAGTCAAGTTGAATTCATTTGAACCAGTCCGGTCCTTTCCCGTGTCAATAAGGAAGCACATTTTCATTTCTGCCAGATAAAGGTTCAGAGATTTGACTTTCCAAAAGAGGCCCCCGTTGTCTTATTTCTACATACTTCCTTCACAACATGACTACTTTCATATTAGCTAAGCTTGTGCGCCATATTAGCTAGCCTTCAGCGATTTGGTTCTGGTAGCGTAATAGCTTAAATTTCTATGAAGTCATTTTTGAATATTTTACGCAAAACAAAATTCCAGGTGCCTTGTTTCAACCTATTGCGGATTTGCATGACTTGGATTACCTAGAATCTACACACATGAAAAAAAAAATTGGTGTTTATTTTTTTTATTGGTATTTTATCGATAATGTGACAGCATGTTAAAAATGACATGGACTGTTAGGATAACAAAATACGACAGAACAAATTGGTCGGTTAGCATGTTTAGTTTGGACAAAACCTGCTGGTTCACTCCTTAATCACTGAGTTAGTTGGCTCCCTCACAATTGAATATGATGGCGCTAATGCTACATAACCAAGGTAGCTAATTCGGAAGCTAACAGCAACACAGTGGACTGCCGCATATTTAAGTTTGGTAACTAAGGATTCACAGATAAAGTATGGGTAAATGGGGGTGGGTCACTGATTTTTGGTTTTCGCAGCGTCTGTATGCTACCATGTTAACGAATTTACAGATCAATCTTTCCTGGTCCAAACTGCATTGTGCTGTTGGTGTTTCCAAGATTAGCTAGCAAGATACCAAACCCACCCCTTAAATTGTCTTCTCCGGGCTGCCATAACTCAAGGTCTTCCTTTTCCCCTCTCTTTTCAGGAGGTTTGAGTCGTAACGTCAGCGAGAGGCCCAAAGCTGCGGAGACAGCCACTGACGCACTTTCGGTCGTAAGTACCCAAAGGTGTTCTTTCGTTCACCTGCTGTGAAAATGTCGCCATTCTGTCTGTCGTCTGTTGCCTTGTTATTAGACACAAAGAACATCATCTTTAACTTGCAGGATAACGCTTAGAGCGCAGCCCTAATTGGCCACCAGGCGCAGGCCCGCCTCGAAAATGGTTTCCACTCTCTTGCCTTCCAGCGCCGCCATTTTGTGTGGCGCTGCCAAACGAGTCGGGCAGCGGGTGGGAGAAAGACAGAAAATGGGTCCTTTTAAACCGGTCCCCCTCTTTTTTTTTTTTTTTTTTTTAAACTGCTGTGCCTGTAGTGCTTTTAACCCCGTCGTACAGCCGTCCGGTTTTGCACTCAAAAACGCCTGTCAGTGTACCTGTCTCCACCCGAAACGGCAGCACCATGCCTCAGCTCGAGCCTGGGCTCCCGCTGTGCACTCGATAACCTCGGGCTCCGCCCCTCAGCCTCTAGCAAGCTTGGCTTCAGTGCCAGGCATTTGATTACATGTGCAGATGTTACTCGGATCCTCCCAACTTCTCTGCACTGCAGTGTGTCTCTTGTTTAAAAAAAAAAAAAAAAAAACTCACAAGGGTTTTTTTTTTTTTTTCTTCCTCATAGCAAATGTGTGCGCGAAAGAAAAAAGCTGGCCACAAGGAAGGAAGGAGTTTTGCCTGTAAAATATTTAATAGTGTCTCATCTTTGGAAAATGTTGCTGATTTTTCTCGTGTTACCTCAGTTGCTCCGGTTTGGGGTGAGTGAAGATGACGGAATGGTGTGCGTATGTCTTCGTGCAGAAGAGTGCAGCTTGGTGGCAATGTGGCCAAACACGCGCTTTTATAAATAGCAATAGGCATATGGAAATGTTGCCCTTTTTTTTTTCGTACAGTTAAGCCCAGAATCATTGCAGTGATTTGTTTTAATTTGCTGACTTGGTATCTTTTTAGCCCGAAAGGCCATAAGATGTTTTTGTTAAATGTTTCCTATATCCATGATTTCACCCAAAACGTTCCATGTTTCAAACTACCTCTACTTATTCTTATGTTGGCATCGATTTTATACATTCTTAAAATGTTCTTGAAGTTAACTGAATTATTTTGACATGAGTCAAAGCTTCCGTTTCCTTTAAACCAAATAAAGTTCAACTGAAGTAACATTTACTAAAGTAAGTCAATCGTATGAGGATGTCAGAGCAATACTTTAACCTTATGGAACCAAAATAATCCATGCCTGTGAGTATTGTCACATTGTTATGGCTGCACCGTTGGTGGTTAATTAGTCGGTGCCTTAAAGGTTTATATCGCCACGACACCGATGCTGTCCATCACATTTTAATTTATTAATTTTTTTTTTTGTTAACGGACATAACTGAGGCAAAACGTTGTGGTTGTTTGAATTGTGGGAGTCTCTTCGTTTGATGTTTAGTTTGACGGTCAACTTCAAGCGTCAGTGGCAATAAACAGCTTGAAATGTATTTCTTTTTTTTAAGGATGATCTGCCAGGCTGTTGCTTGTTGTAAAGTGGGTTGAGCTTCATTCACGACCAAATGAAAGAAATTAAAAAAAAAATCGACCGAGTGGCAGCTTGGTATCTTCATATTCTCAAGACCCTCTGTATTGCTCATATTGTACTTTTCACTTTTGCGGCATAATCCTTCCAATGCTCACTGAGCCGAGGAGGCAAGATCATTTGTTTTGTGACAGGAGTTTGGAAAAAAAAAAAAAAAGTCCAGAATTTTGGTTGACCACTTGTGGATGGTCCACTGTATGTGTTTGTCATGAGCCGATTTAGACTCTGGTCGCAAAGTACAGCACAGCTCCCCCTCAAGACCTACTTAGTGTAGTTCGGCCCATCGCAAGCTCAATAGCTTCCATTTTTGCAGGTCATGAAGGCGCCCGTGGCTCCATGTCGGGGTTCCGTCTGCACATATGGGGCGGTGCGGCATCCATATTGTGTGAACGGAATGAATTATAAAAGCTTTCTGCATAAAGCACGGTGTTTCTGTGGGGGTGGGGGGGGCATATCTGCGAGCTCGGAACCCTCACCCTATAGCGAGCAGATGGCTTCTTGCAACATGGAACCACATATCGCGCCGACTTGCCTCGTGGCAGTGACGCACAGACGCACGTAGGCACAAGTGTGCATCGACTCGACACCCGACTTCCAAGTCCACAAACACCATCTATGTCCAACGCACAGTAGTGGGGGGGGAGATTATGAAAATGGCTTAATCAAGGGTCCATTACTTTATATTTTGGCAGCAGGCCCCGAACTGATGGCTGCTGCCAGGCTTCGCAGTAGCCCCCCTCCTCGCCGTGGTCGGCTTAAGCCGCGCTCCCAGGCCACGTAGCCGCGAAGCGAACCTCAACGCAGCTCTGTCGCCAGCGCGCGCCCCTCGGCCAAATTTTAGAACTCATTGTGCCCCTCGAGTAGAGACCCAACGCCGACGAGAGTCTACCCTCTCCGGCGTCGTGTCTGTCAGCTCGAGTTCATATACACGGGGGTGGGGGGGGGGGGTGCTCCGCGGGGCGATTTGACGCGCCCGCTATATATAGAAAGGCGACAGATGCAACTCGACGGGGCGCTGCAGTTTTTCCAGCGTGTAAGTTTGGTCCTTTCTTTTACGTATTGGTGTCTCGGTCTACACGTCCTTTCCAAAGCCACTATTGCACACTGTCCTATACACTAACACTCCCTTGTTTGCATCCCACACAAGTGCCTGTTAAGTCTTTGTGTACATGTGACTGTACGCAGCATGTGAAAGATGAGAAGCAGCTGCCAAGGCTGAGCTGGTTGAGTGGTCTGGTTGACCCCAACGGCGTGCCCTGTCATTATAATCATCAGGCTCGTTTTTCCTCTTTTTTTTTTTCTTTTTTTTTTTGGAAGCTCCAAAGATGTGACTCTGGGGGCCGCAGAGGGGCCGTGCTAGCTGGGTCTAATCCGGTCCTCTTCACCTGGCATGTTTACGGCCCTGCTGGTTTGGGAGGGTAAGCTGCCGGGGGCCCTTCATCTCGCCGTTTGACAGGCTCGCTTGAGGTGTGAGCGTACGCGCATGCTCGCGCTCGCGCACGCGATAATAACTCAAAAAGTTTTCTTGCGCATTTGCTCGAAGCTGAAGCATATCTGCCTTATAGGTGAGTGAGAGGTCAGCCCGTCTGACTTTGCGCGCAGGCGTCCCCCCTGTGGCTCGCCAACCCTCCCGCCCCTGCACCCCCGTGACATGTGTAACAGGACCTGTCCACGCCGCTTCCTCCCTCACTCCTGTGCTCCTCACCATCGCGCCCCACCCCTTCCCATTGGGCCTCAGTATAAATAGATGGTCCGCGTCTGCTGTGCTACCCTCAGGCGCCTGTGGAGGAGCTATGCTTTCGAAATGCTCCCATCTTGTCGATCGGGATTCCTCCCGTCTGCACCATCGCACCACTAACATTCACACGTGAACTGTATATAGACGCGTACGGGAGTGCACGGACACACACTAAATCCTCCAGCGTCATATTGCCCGCAACGCGCAGGAGCATAAAGCAACATTGGCAAAGAAACGCAGCACTCGTTTCATCGAGACGGATTTTTAAAAAAAAGGTTCTTAGCGTATTTGGAATGCATTTTGGGATCACCACCATAAAAACTATTAACGGTATAGGCTGTGTTTCAAAGGAAGGCTTTAATGTTCTGAACAGTCGTTGCCAAGTGTAAGAAGTTCATCAATGTAAAAAAAAAAATTTGTTTAAGGAAACAAAAACTGTTCAAATAAACCTCTTCGGGGCAAATTAAAGCCAACAAATGACTCGCTGTTACCTCTGAAGTAGTACATAGCAATAAAGTTGAGTTTAAAAAAAAATAAAAAATAAAATTTTAAGTTGCGCACAGCGTTGCCAAATTACTTCCTACATCCTGCAGCAGAGGCCCGGCGCTAAAGTCACAGTAGGCAGACTAGCGTTAGTGTATTTGAGGCAGCTATTATTGTTGGTCTTTATTTTGCTGATATCCACCGGTTAATTTCACATCAACCGCACACACACACACACAATATTGGGCTGTATAATTATGTAAATGCAACACAATACCATTGAATGGAGCTCCGCGCTCTACGTTAACAGAAAAAAAAATCCACTACACTGATTTAGCGTGAGGCCACGAGGGCAATTTTACACCTGCACTTAACCATATTCCTTGTTTGGAAAGACTTCAGAAACTAAAACTGGAAGTTCAATTGTTTCATTTTCGAATATGCTGGTAGCATTTTGAATAAACAACAAATGGCACCATTCACCGATAATTGGTCATGTGTACCATTTTTGTCAACTGAATATCTCTCTATACGAAGTCAAGCTCATCGCACCTTGTAAAACAAGGAAGGCTTCAAAGCCAACAAACGATTGGACCTCCTTCATTCCGTTGTGATCGTGAAGCCGAACATGCCGCAGACCCGCTCTGTCCAAACATCCAGATGCTAAGCTACCCACCGCGCTGACCAAAGAAGCCCATAGATCACATTACAAGGTTAGAGCACTTCACTTTGTCCTATGGCTGCACTGAGACCCAGTATTGATCGATAGCACTTAAAGCTTAAGTGTGATTGAATTAAAGTGGCTTTTTCAACCGTGCCAGTCTTTTGTGCCGAGGCCGCTTGAAGCGATGGATGGACTTGTTGTGCTTCTAACGTCGTGTGTGGCTCGTTCGGATTGTCGCTACCGGCGCGCGTTTTTTTTTTTTTTTGTTTTTTTTGCGTGACATTATGAGACGTCGTCGTGCCGAAAGAAAGCGGGGGGTCGTCAGCTGCTCGGAGAGGTGCCCCGGGCCACAGCGGCTATCGGTTACAAGCTCTCGGCTTTCACGCGTCTGAGCCGTCTCGCTGACTTTGCACAACTTCCAAGAACCACTCAAAGCAAAGTGGCGTTTTTTTTTTTTTTTCCTTTGGCCTGTAGTGCGGTGTGCACCGAGAGCCCACGCTTGCATGCAGATGATAGCTCTTGGCTTCACTTGAAAGCAGACCACTCGGCCAGACTGGACTCTGATACGGCTACTATCCAGGCGCGGGGGCTTACGTTCCAAAAAGAACCCGTGATAAATCTGTGAAGTAGTCATCGTTATTTTTTTTACAATTATTATACAATACAGGGCGGCCCGGTGGTCCAGCGGTTAGCGCGTTGACCTCACAGTGCAGAGGTATCGGGTTCAATTCCAGCTCCAGCCTCCCTGTGTGGAGTTTGCATGTTCTCTCCGGGCCTGCGTGGGTTTTCTCCGGGTACTTCGGGTTCCTCCCACATCCCAAAAACATGCATGGCAGGCTGATTGAACACTCAAAAATTGTCCCGGGGTGTGAGTGTGAGCGCGGATGATTGTTCATCTCTGTGTGCCCTGCGATTGGCTGGCAACCGGTTCAGGGTGTCCACCGCCTACTGCCCGAAGACAGCTGGCATAGGCTCCAGCACCCCCCGTGACCCTTGTGAGGATAGAGCGGATCGGAAAATGAATGACTGAATAAATTATACAATACAACACTGTACTGTAGAATTTTTTTTAAATCATATATCCAAACTTTTTTTAGCTATGATGCTTTTTAAAAATACGTTTATGGTCCAGCCAGGAGAAGCATTTTAAAACGGTAGACTTACATACGATAGTTTCTGCACTTAGCACGCTGCAAAAAATGCATCCCGAGCCTCCGCATCACGTCTCTACTAAGGTAGGCAGTGATTTCCTTTTCACAAACTATTGTAGCTACTTTTATTTGTCTCTATGGCTGTTGATCAGCCTGACATGAATGCATGTGCAGGTAAAGGGTCTTCGCTGGAGTCAAACAAGGTCGGGCACCCCCTGCTGTTCAGAGACGAGGTGCGCAGGCTGTTGACATTGTTCGACAGTTGCTTTGCCAAACAGGATGCAGACCACAATGCACCGTTTAAAAAAAAGAAAATGCACTTAAAAATCTGCGCAACAGTGAACCTGTGGGCGGTGACCCGCATTATAGCGACAGTTCAGTGGATTAGAATGAGCGACGTCGTGACAGGACAGCATGCCTCAACCTTCCCGAATGAAGCTTGAAACGCGGCTCTTTTGCATGAGGAGAATGAAATATCGCATGTGATCAACAATCAAGGCAGCCAAGGGGTTAATTTTTCCACCACAGAGAGACAAATTCTAGTTCGACGGTGTCGATGTAATCCGAATGTTGGAGGCAGAGATTTTGCTTTGGCTATTTTTCCAATGGAATTATTACTCAAACAAATAATGGCGCGCCATTCAGTAGCGCCATACCATCTGTGCTTTCTTCAACCGAGGACCACCTGTAACCCGAAAAGTGGTACAAGTTAGCAAGCAAAATTGTCATCATCTCACAAAATGACACTTAAGCTCACTGCAGTAAGCATCGATATTTATCCGGAAATGTTTGCGATATTTTACCACAGCAGGGACTACTGCCTCTTAAACATTTTATGAAGGCAACATTCGACCCTGGAACAAATTCTCTTTATTTGCCACAGGGGGTCGAGGGAGAGTTGTGAAATTGGAACAACTTGAAAGTCAATCAGGACGACGGAACCAAAATGTGGCGCCAATTTTCCGACTCGCGTCGCCGGCTCAAAACCGAATTCACCGGCTTCCATTTTGCTCCCCCGTGTAGACAAGATGTTACTTGTCACGTCAGCATGAGAAAATCCAGCTAATGTCTGGCGGGGATACATTGTGGTCATCCGCATTCGTGGCTTTCTGCTTCTGGTGTTGCGCGAGAGTCGACTGCTGGCCTTTGCGCACACAGCAATGCGCCTTGCGCACTGAGTGATGCCGATACCAGCCATCGATACTTAAGGCAAAAAAAAACAAAACAAAAAAAAGCAGTAAATCCACCTCGGGAGTAGTTGTTCAATGTTGCAGCAGTTTGACACATTGGCGAATCAGCATCTGCGTTTGAAAGAAAAGTCTGTCACAATTATTTATTTATTGCCATTGTGTATTATTACATGCGGTATCTATCTATACTTGTATCGGGGAGGATTCAAAGAGCGAATCTCATACTGGTATTGGTCTGAGAAAAAGGGATATCGAGCATTCTTATGTGGCAGCCGCCTGATTTCATCGCCCCACCGATGTACAGTATTAGCGCGGAATCAGTGGAAGTTTTTTTTTTATTTTCTATTTTTTTTTGTGGTTGCATTTTTGTGGTTGCTTGCGACTACCTTTGCAATATACAGTATTTCCATTTAATACCGTCTTCATTGCTGCTCTCCTTGTTCCCACTCTTCCAACAAAATGGAAATGCAAACAAGGTTAGCGGCCTACATGCTAACGTCGAGCAGGCTTTCAAAAAAAAGGAAAGGTGTCACTGTGTTCAAGGCTGTTGAGATTGAGGTGAACTAACCCAATTGCTAATTTGTTAAACCAGTTGGTGTACTAACCTATCTGAGTACATAAAGCGCTAACACAGAACGCCATGTACTATTTCCACATAGAAAATGATTAAATGCTAAAAACAAACAAGCAAACAAAAAAACATTGGTTTTATGCTAACATTATGTAGCAAGGTAGCTAGGTACAGAGAACACTAATGTAGATTGTCAAAGATTTAAATATGAGACACAGCTGATGATTTTCCGAATGTTCCTCCATTATGCACCAATTCAAAATGGTTACCTAAAACTTTTCACACGCCACCTCCCTGAGTCATTAGGCTAAGTTATTCCCATTCTGTCTCCCCGTGCAAATAAAGGATGGCTTTGCTCTGTGATTCTTTCAGGTGGAGATGCTGCCGAGCGGCGCCGAAGTTCTACTTCATGGCGCAGAGGAGGTGAGAAACACATTGTGTAAGCACACACCAAGTGAGAAGTCACGAGTACTGCAATGGCAAATAACAGCGCAGGCTTGTTTTTCGCCGACAAGACCGTTGGGGTGTACGTTCGAGCTGTACGTCCCGACTGGTTCTGTATGCCGTCACTGGTCAAGTGGAATCCAAGGCCTGAAATATATTGTTGACCATTTCAGACGCAAGATGCGCGGTCAGACGTTGAACAGAACACGTGCCTTTGAACGGAAAGTCTGCTCGGTGTGATGTGTCGTAGTGATTCACAAGGTGAAAAATTGTATTCTTTGTATGGTGGATGCCGAGATATAAATATATACACACACACACACACACACACGCGCATCACACAATTTTAATAATCACGCAGAGGAAATAAAAAACGCAGTTTCTAAATGCCAAAATACAGGATTAAAATACAGTATATCAAAATCAAGATGTGTTAGTGCAGTGAATTTGCTCGAATGGATTAATGGCATTTGCCTCTCGAAAGAAATGCGAGTCAACCAAGGTAATCCCACTTCGCTTAATTCGAGTGGTCGCATTTAGTTTAGACGTGGCCTTTGTTTCATACGTGGTGTCGAGTAACATGTTTTTGTGTGTCAAAAGCGAGCAGCAGCAGCACGGATGAGCGGATGGAGAGAATATTTACACACTGTCCTTTGGGGTGAGGTAGTAGGTTGTATAGTTTTAGGGTCACACCCTTCCTGTTAGATAACTATACAACTTACTGTCTTTCCTGAAGTGACTGTAATGTCGTCGTCTGATTGGATCCCCTCCCAGGACCGCCGATGACGTTTTCTAAGCGGCAGCGCTCCCCGATGGTGGATCCCTGTAACTGCACTTTGCGCTTCTTTGCACTCGTCGACCTTTGTTCCCTCGGCACAGGATGTTTTTTTTCTTCTTCTTCTTCATTGCCATTTGTATTTGTTTGCATGCACGTGGTGTGCCTGTGCTCATGTGATGTCCCACAATGTTCCTGATGTTCGTACGGGGTGAGGTAGTAGGTTGTGTGGTTTCAGGGTAGTGATATTGCCCAATCAGGAGATAACTATACAACCTACTGCCTTCCCTGAAGGGCAGCAATACGCCACCGGGCAGACTTGACACTTGCCTCCCCCGAAGGCTGCAACTCTTCATGATGAAGTCACCAAACTGTGAGGTTTGTATTATCGTTTTTTTTTCCCCCCTGAAATTTTTAATAAAAATTATGAAAACCAACATGTGTGTTCCTCATTTATATGCCCCAAAACTATGATGTTGAAATTGTGCATATTACGGTGATTTTTTTTTTTTCAACCGACGAGCCCTCCACAGTTCTTTTCTTCACTGGCCTTTTGTGTGTTCCATATGTGATGATAATAATATAAAACTCCAAAATGTATTTTTACTGTTGTAAAAATAATACACATTTAATTTATAGTACTAAAAAGGTGAACAGGAATTACAAAGCACACAAAAGCGTGGAAAGAAAAAGTTAGCGATAATAATGCACTCCAATATGTATGTCTAAAAATGTTGATCTTTAACTCATTCGGTACCAGCCATTTTCAGACCCGTATAAAAAAAAAATTGACTTTCAGTCTTGGAAAAAAAAAGCTTGGAAAAAAGAAAACCTAAGTACATGGGATTGAATGTGTGAAGTCTGAAAAGACATATAAATATGTCTTTGGGAGTGAATGAATGAAAGACCACCACTTTTCTCATTTTGGTATTTTTCTTTTCATTGTGGCACTAAACTGTGGAGTGACCAGAGGTCACAATGTTCTTATCGAGAGACACAATCAATGCTTCTGTTGCCAACAAAGCACATTGAATGTAAAAGAAAAATCTGCATCGTTTCAGACATTGCCACTGCTTAGAGAGGCATCCGCTGCGGTATAAAGCTTTGCTGACAAATGGACAATAGTTCTTACAGACATTAGAAATCAAGTATGTCCTCACTAGACACTTGTCGATGCAAAGTGGGCACCCAGAACTGGTACACAGAATATGCGACCTCCCCACAGGAAGGCCTGAGGTGAGATTCAAAGCCGGCCGGGCCTCAACTGTTGAGGCGGACATTGTAACCGCTGACTAGTCCATTGAGCTGCATTGTAACATTCAAAGTGAACACCGTAAATTTGGGAGGGTATAGAAAGACTATCTGTGGTTTGATAAATTATAGTAATTTCGAAATGATTTACATTTCACACGGCCATGTTTAAAGTTGTCCATTTCCTGCCTGTCGTCCTAACTTCAAAAGGTTAACAATGAAACCACTTAAATATAATCAGTTTAAAACGCCAAAATATATATCACACAGCAAAATTACCAATGATGACTGTTAATCATAACTATGACACACTTACATACCAAAATCCCAATTTTGCATCAAGTTTGCACCGACGATTTTTTATCAGTAGATGACAGCAGAGATCTCTTGTGTTTCGCCACACTCCGCGCTGCAATGTGATCCACTTGTGTGAACTTCCCAAGTGGCTCAGCCAGTATGCATCGCTTCATATGTACCAGTAACAATCATAAGAATGTGAGAAAATAAGTTAGCTGCTTGAAAACAATTGGCATTCGTGTGCTGAATGCCCTGAGAAACCGGATGATGCATGCCACAGTGCTGGAGCCGATCCCAGCCGTCTTCCGGGAGTACACCCTGAACTGGTTGCCAGCCAATCGCAGGGCACACAGAGACAAGTAAACATCCACGCTCACAATCACACCCAGGGACAATTTCGAGTGTTCCCTTAACCTGCCATGCATGTTTTTGGAACGTGGAAACCGGAGTACCCGCAGAAAACCCACACAGGCGTAGTACACTCTGAACTAGTTGCCAGCCAATCGCAGGGCACACAAAGGCAAAACAACCGTCCGCACTCAAAACTCACACCTAGGGACGATTTACAGCACAGGTGTCAAAAGTCGAGGCCCGGGGGCCAGATCTGGCCCGCCAAATATCATTTCATGTGGCCCGCGAAAGCAAATCAAACATGTCAAGTTTCATGATGCTTGCTAAAGTCTGAACCGAAATTTCAAATTGTCATATGTAATCCCCAATAACAGTCATGATTCTTGACTTCTGATTTTTAAACTAGTTATTCATCAATTTGTTGTGCGCTGTGTATGTAATATGAAACATTTATATGGTTTCCCTAATTTCATAACGGCCCTCCAAGGGAAACCGTAACTACAATGTGGCCCGCGACAAAAATGAGTTTTGACACCCCTGATTGAGAGTGTTCAATCAGCCTGCCATGCATGTTTTTGGAATGTGGGAGGAAACCCAGAGTGCCCGAGATAATCCACACAGGCACGGGGAGAACATGCGAACTCCACACAGGAAGGCAGGAGCCAGAATCAAACCCTGCACCTCTGCTCCGTGAGGTTGATGTGCTCACCACTTGTCACTGTGCTGCTCATTATAATTTTTCATTCGGTTTAAGAATTGTTTTACACATCAAGACCACAATGGGAAAAATATATTGGGTTGCAGATAGCTGATATATAGCGTTATACATTTCAGATGTGACGTTTCTATTTTTAGTGCATTGATTTTTCTTTTGTGTCAAGCACACGTGCTGAGACACATCAACAGACGGGTGTTGAGTAAAGCTTTGCATAATCCTTACTGACGGACTGACTGTGTGGTGTCTGGTGGGGTCAGCGTGGTCCCATGGCCCACACTGAGGGGGTGTCGATGGGGGCTTCAGCCAGGAGCTGCCACCAGGATGCAAGCCAGGCGCTCCCAAGGAGCCAAAGATGTGTCCAGAATGTGATGAAGGGCTGAAATGAGGAATGGGATGGGAAACGAGCGCACAGGGATGCTAACGAGGTCATGCGTTGAGACTTTTTTTTTTTTTTTTGTAAAAACGAAGTCAACTTTTCACGATCTCCCTAAGAGGTCTGGAGTCGTCGCTTCCCCATAGAATTTTAGGGGTGACAAGCCCATACGACCTGAATGACATTATTAATCCAGTGGTTGTGCCCCAACATGAACCAACACGGGCCTAATTTCATCTTCCTGGACGACGATGCTGCAGCTCATGGAGGTCGCATCATACCGGAACGGCCGTTGGAGACCGGTGTCCCTCATTGCCGTGTCGAGACTTGAAACTGCACCCCAGAACCTCAAATGATCTGAGGGATGCCCTTCAAGAAGAGTGGGATGCCATGCCTCAACAGACAAGAAGTTGAATTTTGAACGTTCGTGAGATGTCGTCGTCAAGCTGTAATTGATGCTCAAAGGGCACATGACGTTGAAATATTTTTTTGTGGTGTACCCACCGTTGTTGTAAACTTTTGTTTCAATTAATTATTTGAAATGAGCAAATCACCAGTGCAGGCGGCCCGGTGGGGAGTGGTTAGCACGTCTGCCTCACGGTGCAGAGGTACCGGGTTGGATTCCAGCTCCGGCCTCCCTGTGTAGAGTTTGCATGTTCTCCCCGTGCCTGCGTGACTTTTCTTCGGGTACTCCCGTTTCCTCCCACATTCCAAAAACATGAATGACAGGCCAATTGAACACTCTTAATTCTCCCTAGGTGTGAGTGTGAGCGCGAATAGTTGTTCGTCTCTCTGTGCTCTGTGATTGGCATGCAACCGGTTCAGGGTGTCCTCCGCCTACTGCCCGAAGATGGCTAGGATAGGCTCCAGCACCCCCTGCGACCCTTGTGAGATAAAGCGAATCACAAAATGGATGGATGGAATTCACCCGTGCATCCTTCAACTTAAATGTCCTACTTTCATGATATGTATCACTGTAGATTTTTTTTCCTACTTCTAATTTTTTACTCAAAGCATGTCAGCAATCCATTTTTTGATTGATTTTTTTTTTCTCTGTTGCTTTACACAGTGTCAGTGATTGTTGTCGTTTTAATTACTTTTTGTCCCTCTGTGTTGTCTAAGTAATACAAGGGATCCGATATTTATTTTGTTTTATTTCCTGCATTGTATTCCTTGTCGATAGGGTCATGTGAGGACAGCACTCCTTTTGGAAGTATGAGAGTGGGGCGTCTCAGTCCACCCCCGTCTCCCCTCCCCGCTTTATTTATTTATTTTTTTATTTAAAGGGGCCGTACCTTGTTGAATTGAAACTTCCCATTGGCTGAAAGTGTAGGTGTGTCGCTGTCAGATGCGGAAGTAGGGCGGGCTTTGGCGCAGCGCCTTTGCCGTCGTCACCTCCGGCGGGCGGGAGCCTCAGCGGACGTCTCTGGCTTTTTGTACGGATGTGCTGGTCCCCTTTTTTTTGACAGCAGGCGGGCAGGCAGGCAGGCAGGCAGGGGGGAAACTAGGAGGACGTAGGCGGGCTCTGCTGCTATCTCCCTGCGGCTCTGTCTCCCTTATTGAGCCGTTTCTCGTCCACAGACACCCCGGCGACATGCTGGTTCCGGTTGGCGTTTCCTCCTTTGAGGTAAGACGTCTTCTTTTGGGCACTTTTTGAACGTGAGCCGTGCACACACCCATGCACACTCTGGGAATGTTGTTTTGTCATGCACCTGATTGATCAGGGGCGATGTTTGAGCATGCACTTATGTGCTTGGTGCTTATTACAGTTTTGGGATGTGCAGGCACACTTCATCTGATTTCAGTTTTTTTTTTTTTAATTGTTGTTATTGTTTTTTGTTGTTGTTGCACGCCTGCGCAGATCGAATGCAGGCTGCTCAGTGATGTAAGCCAGCCAGTGCATCAACACAATGGCAGCCCCTGCTCGTGGAAAGCCATTCCTATAGTACAGAAAATGTGCACAGCAACAGTATGTTTGGAAAAATTTAAGAAAGAAAACAGGGAGCAGGGAATTTCCACATCCACTTTCGTCAGATTGAAATAAATGCTGCCTGAACACCATGCTTGAATCAAAGGAGCACTTTTTTTAGACCATCATCAGAAAGTACTAGTTTTATTGAATTGAATTGAATACAACTTTATTGTCAAATGTGTAACATACAGCACAGATGAAATTTCTTCCCTCTCAACATAAAACAAGAGGAGCCGCTGCGGGTGCCCGTACCACCATCAAAAGAAAAATTAACAAAAAATGACAAACTAATACAAGACGACAACACATGAGACACAGACAATCATGCAATCGTAACCACTTTCCTGCATACACTTTGTTGTCTGAAGCAGTTATAGATGAAAGAGGAGCGAATCAAAGTGTCCTTTTCACCAGTGGATCAAAGATGTCATGGTGCAATGTTGTGTTGGAGTCTTTAAAAATTAGAAGAAAAAAAATAGAATACTGAAATTCATTTGAAACAGTGCCTATGTTGCAAACTAAGCACCTTTTACCCAGGTTAAGGAAAAGGTTGATGTATCTATTGAACTATTGATGTTGTTGTCCTTCTAGGACCACCATAATCACATTCAAAGAACAATTGTGGTTGATCTATTGAAGATGTGTACTCACTTCTTCATATCAAAGCCAAAGGGAAAATAACTTTGTGGACTACTTTGGAACCGGAGATTTATAATTGGCGTCTGCCCCCAAAATGAGCATTCACATAGTTGGAGGTAAAAAAAAGAACAAAATGAGAGGCAGTTAAATTTTTTATATTTCTTTTTTTTTTTTTTTTTTTTAAGTCATGTGGTGAAACTGGACAATCAGGTTCTTGCTCCATGACGGAAACATTTCAGATGTTTCGGATTGAGGTGAGTGAAGAGGCCTATTGTCAGCCAACTGAGCAAAAACTATATAGTTCCACATGCCTGCACTTAGCTCGACCAGTCGTAAAAGATGTTTACATTGGGACAGGTCATTGTGTTGGAGCAGGACCAGCTTTGTTTTTTTTTCGGGGTTTTCAGATCATAATTGGGCATTTTCCAGAATACGTATTAGTTATTTGCTGTATTATTGTTCACTTCCATACTGATACTGCCAGGTGTGATGCTTGTGCAGTTTATTTCGAGCGTAAACACAAACATGTTGGATATGCGTCACTTGAAATGTTCGTTTAAAAAAAAAAAAATGAATTGACGTTTGGTTACATAACGGGGCTTTCGAGCATACAACTTCCAACATTTGATGGGAAGTTATCTAGCGTATGAATGGTCCAAAAGTGGTATAAAAGTGTTATTTATCTCTGTTACCAGTTGTACTTGTATTTTGGAAGGTGTCTAGTTCTACTTCCTGTGTTGGTTGCATTGCAACGGTATCGATTGGACTCTCAGCCAGGATACTGACCAATCTAACACACCGTGCTAGCCGCAAGCTAGCTACCAGAATCTTGTCACTTATGAACTATAAATGAGTGTTTAAAGTGTCAATGTATACAGTATGTTTTCTGTCGTGCTTTTAGCTCGCGGTTGAGTTGTTCGAGGCTAACTTGGTTGCTAACCATTGGCTGCCGTGGACAATTTAGTCACCTGTTTTCTAAAGGTGAGCTGTGATTGGCTGTTACCTGAGCCCTGAGGAAATGTGATGTCATTTTCAGTCGCCGGCAAGTGGCAAAATGGCCGCCCCCCCTGAGATGGAAACTAATGTGCGGGTTTTACTGCCTAACTCATACTGCACATACCTGATTTTAATCAGCATGCCGTGTTTAGACTAGCGGGGGGATGCTTCGGACAGAAGATGTGTTTAAAAGAGCTTTTCCATAGCAAAATGATCATTAACTGGCTGTTATTTGGATGTCGACGAAGAGCCTCTTCAACGTTTCACCTTTTGAGCGTTGTGTATACAACATGTTATGCCCTACTCGTCGGCGCACGACTGTTCTTTGTTGCGCAACTTGTGACCTCTATCAACAAGCTTTTGCCCTTCATGCTGCCCCCTCTGAGCCTTCCTTACGCCAAAGTCCTTGTGGGACAGCGAATGGGATTGAGGCCCTCCAGCCAGACTTACTGTAAGCAGCTCTCCAAGGAGATTGTCTTTGCGAATGAACACCCAAGGGTCACTGGATGCTCAATGTGTATTAGTTCTGAACTCTTATTTCCATGTCATGGATGCACGCTAGCTAGCATAGCTGACGTGTGCTATTAAACTCCTTGAGGGAGGGAGGGGGGGGAACAAAGTCAATATTGCTTTTGTTTTAATAATAACTATTAATGCTGTATTTTTATAGGGTTGGAGACTTACTGTAAGCAGCTCTCCAAGGAGATTGTCTTTGCGAATGAACACCCAAGGGTCACTGGATGCTCAATGTGTATTAGTTCTGAACTCTTATTTCCATGTCATGGATGCACGCTAGCTAGCATAGCTGACGTGTGCTATTAAACTCCTTGAGGGGGGGGAACAAAGTCAATATTGCTCTTGTTTTAATAATAACTATTAATACTGTATTTTTATAGGGTTGGTAAACCTGATCAGTCACCTTTATTAATATCGTAGGCTGTATCACTTGTCGGCTTGCGCTACCGTAGGAGCAACGGCTCAACATGTGACGTGTCAGGCTTTCCGATCGCAGTTCTCACAAAAAGTGAGCACTTCCGGTTGCGAGGATAAGCGGCTCGGATAACGGACAAGATGGATATGAACTTCTTCTTTATCCACATAATGAGAGCGTTGCTTGTTTGTTCCAATAGCCTGGCATTTAGCCTCTGATGCAATGTACGTAGAGCGCAGTGGCTGGTCTCATTCGCATGAGCATGCAAAGGTTCAAGCAGGGCAAGCCACCGCTGGTGGATGACAGCTATTTGGGCCCGTTGTGTTTACACAGCATAACAAGACAAAACCAGATATCGGCTGGCGCAGCTTCTCTGTGGTTTTGTTGGGTTTATGATGTGATCATGTGTCTCATAAAGGCATCAAAGCGTTGCAAAATGGAAGCTGCACGGCCTTGCCCGCTTTCTACCCAAACGTTTAAAACGAACATTTGGTTCCCAAGTGCAAATGATACAAATTGGTGTCGTCACGTCGCCAGCGCCAAACCCCAATTTTAAAAATAAACTTTTTTGGGGGTCATGAGAGTTTGAAACCAGTTGCAAATTTGAAAATCAAATGCCTTCACCTAAGTTGACTTTCATTTCCCCAAGCTGGAACCCGCTTGTTGAGGAAAACAAGAACAGGGCTCCCGTTAATTGCAGCAACTACATTCACGATCATGGTGAGTTGTGTTTTTGTGTTTGCTTTTGCCGTTTCACCCAAAATATTGCTTTTCTTGCTCAACTGAGCTGCGGCACAAAAACAGCTGGCAAGGCCGAACTCGACGTCTCACCGTGACGCGCAGAGGCAAAATGAAGCCGCTCGGCACTCCGGCGTCACGCTGGAAAATGTAACCGGAGACGCACGCAGCTGTCACAGCAAATAGAAACGTCCTTCCGCGTCCCGTCGGATGGCCCTGGCTCGGATTGTGACGGCTCTTTGTGAGAGATTGCGCCACTGCCGTCCGCTGCCCGCGTAGTCCTCTGCTGCCACAGCATGGAGGCTGCTGAACCTTGGCACACAACAGCTGGCGCCAACGTTACACAGAAACATTTGGCTCCGCAGCCTTGATGTGTTCATTGTGGTGGTCACATTGACGCTATTTTTGGCTCGTGGGGGGAGAAGGTAAAGGTGCATTGCGTTTAGACAGTAGTGTTTTTTTTTTTTCCATCCATGCATTCCAAATCCATTCCGCTAATACAGGTGAGTTGCTTTGGCAGCTCGGGTAACATAAGTGGTATGCTTGTATGTCTCACAGCCGAGAGGTTGTGAGTTTGAATCTCAGCACGTTTTGAGTTACGTCTTCCCTCGGCGGGCAGTTATGACAGTGAAACCACAAAAAGGTTTTATCGCGTTATCGCAATAATACTTTGAAAATTATTGCAAAATCTCACTGTCATTTATTACACGACAATTTGTCATTTCGGTACATTTTTTTAGCAAAGGTCATTCAAGTTAACGCATGATTTTCTTTCAGGGGGGGGGCCACATAAAATGATGTGGTGGGCCAGATCTGGCCCCCGGGCCTTGAGTTTGACACCTGTGCCGTAAGTGATTTAAGCGATGCAGAAAAAGCAGTACAGCAGTTCAATTCAGTGAGTAAAGTGAATACTGTCGTACGGAGCTTTTGGGAGAGAAACGCCCTCCGCCGATGTCGTGGCTAATTTCGCTCACCGGGAGCAGCGAGCGACGTTGCGTGGCGCATGCGTCATGCCGTGCGGCAGTTTTGTCTGATTTACGGTCTGGATGAACCGGAGAGACGTTTCACAACAAGCATGGGGGCTCTGGAAATAAAGCGTCCTGGCGCGGAACGGACGTGTTGCTCAAGGTCAGTGTCACAAGCGACTGCCCGTTTTCACAGCTGGCAAGTGGGAGGACAAAACTGGCCAGTTAGGACGATGGCGATTGCGTCACGAACGACATCAACCCCCCCAGTATGGACTGTGGGTCGATCTTACCAATAGGCTGTGTCATCTCTATTTGACCAAACACAGCAGCTTTAATCTGCGGCTTAAATAGAAACCCCCATTACTATTTTTACACTCTTATCT